GCCGCTTGCCGGTAGCAGGTTCAAAGCAGGGCGAGAAAACCCAATTTGTTGTATTTTTGTCGTTGCGAATACGTACCGGAGAGTCTTCTCGGAGAGACGAGCGGCAGATGGGGTGGCCGTGGCTGGGCACGGTCCCGGCGCGGTCTTGCGGAGCTCTCCCGGGTTAGGGAGGGCTTCGGAAGGGGAACGGGCCTTCGAACGCGCGAACAAAAACTTTAGAAACGGTCCCTAGAGGCAAATCGAAGAGCGTTAACTCTTCCGTTGTAGCATCTGGAATTTTAATGCTGGTTTAGCATCCCTGTTGATGCATTTCATCGCTTGTCACCCTAGCCATTTTCCTTCCGTGTTTGGTGCTTCCAGGCTTGTTTTCTTGGTACCTGTGAGTTTTCTGGCACTTCAGCTTCGTCAGGGTCATAACGTGTCTAGGGATCTGTGCTCAGTTTGCCTTAAGCTTGCATTGATGCCCAAACCTTTAAATAAAAACCTATTTCCTGGGTGAACTGTATAGCACAAGGTTAAGGAATGGACGAGGCTGGTTGTCAGCTGCTAAATGTTGCTTGGGGTAATAGGTAGCCAGTCTGCTTTTGTATCAGAATGTCTCACACAACCTTCTTTGCAGCTGAAGGCTTTGCTGAGCTGTAGCTCCTTGCATTTGGAAGCATTTTTGTGAGGCCAGTTGTTATTACTTACCTGGTATTGAGCTTCAGGTTGCTGGATCTAAAGCATCTGAGAGCGGGCTGATGATTTCCAAATACTGAGAATCTCTGCACAGATCACTGGTTTTTCCCTCTTTGAGTTGTTGTAAATTCCCCTTCTCCTGCAGCAGGCAGTGAAGCTTAACACATTAACTATTCTTAAGATACTAATTTCTTCCTGTAGTGAAAGTTCCTGTCAAATTCACAGTAACTGGACTGTGTGATTTAATGCCTTAGAAGAAGGTGTGGCCTTTGAGTCAGAGTTATTGCCTCCTCAAGTCGTTGCCAGTGCTGCCAGTTCTGTTGCTTAGACTTAGTCTTAGACCACTCCGACAGTGGCTGTTTGACCTTGCGGAGCAGAGAATCTTTCAGTGCCAAATACGCACTACTTAGTGAGCATCTTTGCAGAGGATGATCTTAACAAGTTGTCACTGTCCCTTTGGACAGTTGTATGAAATGCATCTTTTGAGATTCCTCTGCCGTTATTGTGTGGCTTTGTCAGAGGTCTCTGCCTGTAAGACCAATACTCACACTAGCAATGTGCTTATTTTATTTAAAGGGTACTTTGCTGTGGTTGTCAGCAGAAAGCAAAGGAGCTTGTTCAGTTAACAGCAGTCTCACCTTTTGATGAAAAAACTTCTTGAACAAGAACTGGTGGTTATCAATAACCTACATGGAAGTATGTGAACACCATCCTTTACCTCCTGTTTGTCTATAGGTGTCTTAAGCATACAGATTCTGAGTGTAATTCTGTGGTAGTACAGAGTGACCCTGTGAAGTGTCTTTGTTTTCTGCTACCTCGATATTAAGAAACCCACTTTCTCAATATAGAGACATCAGGCATGTGCACCTTGTTTTAAATTCCTGCTAATTTAAAGTGGAAAAAAGACTGCTGGCTTATAGTAGGCTTTGTGAAAGTGTATTAATGTCTAAGGAAGAGTTACTTGCTCAGAAAAATGCTGCACTTCTTTAGAGAATTTTGTGTGCTCTCTAAGTTTGTTGTGGGCTTGTTGTGACGTAAGAACTGTAAATGTATAGTGCTCAGGATGCTGAACCAGGGCAGAGAGTTGAGATTGGTCCCATCTCCGTGCTCTTCCTTTGGGTGCGCTGTCTTAACGAGTATGCTCTGTAGGACAGAGATCACCCTTTGACGTAGGGCAAATACAATGATGGTGTAGCTGACAAATACAGGACAAGTAGAGGCTTGAGGGAAAAATCTAGCATTTTTTTGGCAGCGGGTGGGCAGCTTTTTATTTGAGCCTTACAAAGTTAATTTAATTCTACAGTATTCAACCAGAAAACTTGTGGATACAGTAAAAGATTAAAGGGACTATCAGCTTAATGGTTGAGAGTGAGTAACCACTCAGGAAGGTCCTCGTACCAGCTCACTTTGGCGTAAAGCTTCTAACCATGGATGCATTGCTAGAAGAGTGCACCTCTGTTTGGGGAAATAAATAATATTGATTAAAATTACTAAATTGTGAAACTGATGACTAAACTGTTCAGAAAAAAAAAAAACTTTCCAAGCTTTCTTACTGATATTACCCCCCCATTTCAGGCATAACTCCCTCTAGTTTCATTTCACTGATTAGGAATTAAACAGCGTAAAGAAGCATCTAGACCCATCTGAACAGCTGAATCAGTTTCTCATATTATGGTTGAAATGCCAAAATTCAGTCCGTGTTGTACTAGTGTTCATAGAATGATCACAGAACAGCCCAGGTTGGAAGTGACTTTGAAGGATTGTCTGCTCCAACCTTTCCTGGGAAAGATAGCCTAGAAGAGATAATCTGGCATCCTGTCCCATTGCATCTTGAAAACCTCCAGTGACAGGAACTCCACCATGTCCTTGGGGAGGTTGTTCCAATGAACAATTGTTACAAATTTCTTTGTTGATGCTGAGATGATAGCTCTGCTCGTGCAGCTTGTACCTGTTGCCACTTGTCTTCTCTACATGGCTCCTTGTGAAAAGAGAGCCTCCATCCTCTTTGTAGCTGCCCTTCAATTACTGAAATACTGTGATTGTGGCCCCCACTGAGCCTGCTCTTCTCCAGGATCTAGCTCCTTCAGTCTTTCCTGATAAGGCAGGCCCTCCTAGCCCTTGGATCATCTTCAAACCCTCCTTTGGACCCTCTTCAGACTGTTCTGTGTAATTACTGGGGTGTTTACTTGGTTGGTTTACAAAAAGTCTTGTTAAAAGTTTCACAATTTTTGATTATTGTATTATTTCTAGAGCATATTAAATCTCAACAAAATAGTCTACCTTTAGAAAGACTTGAAGCTAGCCTACTCTTTGATCTTGCAATATATACAAAATTTTGCAGTAGTCTGAGAGACTTCTTTCAGTGTTATGTTTTGGTGTTAGAGTGAAAGATTTACTGATAAAGTTTTGTAAGTAATTTTTTTTTAGTTCTTCACTGCCTAACTAAGTAAAAAATAAGGAATTTTTACTTAATTTCTGGAGATGTTTTCGGTTTGAAACAAGCTTCCTAAGAGGACTTTGCCAGATAATCCAGTGCTTGGACCTCTAGGATCCAGACTGTTTTTTATGAATTGACACAACTGTGAGGAGACTGGTTTTTAATCTTTCCATAAGGAGAAAATGGACTCCTATTTCATAGCCTATAGAAACCTGCACTTTCAACCTTAATGATGTATTTTTTTCTCTTTTACTGGCTGTATTATTTTTTAGAGTGTATGCTGAGGATTTGGGTAAAGGCTGTTTGTAGGTATTACAGCTCTTATAATTGCACCACTTAATGTTAACTCAGTTCATTCTTAGCACAGTGGCCAAACTGCATTTGCCAGCTCTTTATTCAAAAGGCCCAGTTGCAGAGCTTGCATTCTTTACTGGTCCAGGCAAATTCAATTTGTTGATCATGCAGTAATAAGCTCTGTTCTGTTGAAATCTCTAAACCTTTGTTGCTAATACCTCTAAAAGGTTTTCTTCTTTCATATACATTTGATGACTCGTGTAACATTTAGATATAGTTCCTGAATACTACGTGTTTGAGGTTTTTGGCTATGATTTTAAGTTAATATGGCACAGAATGTTTCTGGGCAATTTTATCTTATACTGACTGCCATTTTCTTATTTTTAAATAATTTAATCTGATATAGTTCTTTCAGTTACATAGTCATAAGGATTGTCCAGAGGAAAGCTGTAGCAGGCAGTTCTGTAATTGAGTACTGACACACATGAAAACAAAATACCACAGAACAGAGTCTTAACTCCATGTGTCTTTCTTTGGTGTGTTGCATGCAATAGCTGAAGCCTTTTTTGTGTGTGTTCTGGGATACTGTGGTATTATTCTGCAAATCGTGTAATTAGCTATGCTTTAGTTCACAAAATTAATTGCTTGAAGTTTGGAATTAAAATCGCATGGACACACGCATGTGAAGGGGTAGAAGTGAGTTGTTGCTTCTGCAGTCTTAAATTGACTGTACTCTGAAATATAGCAAAGTAAGTCCCTGAGAGCGTGAACTGTCTTTTACTATTTCCAGTTACGCAGCTTTATTGTAAAGGAAGATCAGTTGTCCCTGTGTAGATATTTTTGTGTTACCGAGGTGGTAATGAAGTAGTGTCTTTGCATGCAACCATAATTAATGACAGAGGTCCTTGAATTATAGCACAATTTCTCCACTCGCCCTCATTCCAGACCAACTGGAACAGTACTCCTGTTTGGGTTTTGTACCTACTTAATTTCGTCTGAACTCCCATTAAATTGTTTATTGAGGCTCAGATTTTTTCATTCTAAAATGAGCTGTTAAGCTGAAAGCAGAGGAAAGAAGGGTCTCTTGGAATAAATGTAAAGATAGATTTAAATTTAGGACCAGTGGTTGTGCTGGTGTTTGCTTTATTTTTAACGTCTACAAGGCAATTGAAACTTGTCTGAAATGAAAAATTTTAAGCACAGCTTGAATTTTTTGTGTGTATGTAGATGGGTGCAGTAACCTCCTGGGGAAGTGGTGGTGAGGTGGGCAATGGTGGGCAATATCTTCAGCTGAATACAGATGACAGGTGTAGCTATAAGACACAGGAAAACCACCTTAAAGAGAGGCTAAACTTGGTAACTATTTTTAGAGTGATCTTCAGTTTTCAGCAAGATGTTTGTAAGACCTCAAGTAGATGATCCACAAAACTCCAGAGCTTTTTTTGTGGTTTTTAAGAAAACCTGCATACATACCAGTCTATATAACCAAACAAGCAGACAAAATTGGGATGTACTTGGAGAGCTAGTTAATGAGCATTCAGGGAATAGCCCAGGTTTTTTTTAAATGAAAGCTATTATGGCACTGCTACACAAGATTGCTCATGTTTTGTTTGGGTTTTTTTGGCTTTGTGTTTTAGTTTGTTGGGGTTTTTTTGTTTTTTGGTTTTTTTGTTTTCCCAAAGTGTAGGTGGCCCTTCGGCTCCTTAAAAATTAGTTTGCATTGGGACAGACATGTGGCAGAGGATTAAAACCAGATAGCTTATGCTATCACTGTGCCAAGCTCCAGTTTAGTTTGTCCTTATATGCAGAGCTGAAAGTTGTGCTGGTATTTGAGCTGATTCACAAGTGGGTCACAAGCTTCTGCACTGAGGGTGACTTGGCTTATTAGAGAGGTGTAGTTGCTGCGTAACATTTTAATCCAGTGTTGCATGTCTGTCAAACCAGTTAAAAATGTTTTTATACAGGTAATAAGTGCCACAAATAATCATTCTTGTATTTAAAATCCATCTGCAGTAATTATAACGACCTGTTGGAATCAAGGTGAAATAGCCTTGCACTGAGATCAGAGTAGAGCTGTTTTGTCTAGCATGGTTAGTGCTAGTGACATGTAATACACTGGCATATCTGGCAAGATGACGTGTTTTGAAGTAATTTTAAGTACTGCATAACAGAACCACAGACCATCTTTTAAAAATTACTTTGGCATCTTCATTTTTTTGGCATTGCTTTATTAATTCTAAGGAGCTCTTTGAGTCTGAAAGTGAAATTGAGGTTACTACTAAGTACCTAGGGAAGGTGGTCTCTGACTGCTGCATTCTTGCCAAATTGTTCTGATTAGAATAACTGTTGTTTCTGATAGCCAGTGAGAGGCTCAGAAATAAACAAAAATACACTCTTGTTGTGTAGTGAGATCCAAACAGAGTAAGCAAAAATGAGGTCAGAAATGAGCAGTCACTTTTTCCACAGCAAGATTCCAATTTGGAATTAACACTTGCATGTAGTCAGTGGTGTAGTTGAGCTGTGCATAGAGCAGATGTGTTTGCAAACAGCATGTACAATTCTGTATTCTTTATAATTTTGCTTTTTATTGAAGCATCCTGGTTTGAAAAGCTTACTCAGAAACTGATTTCAGAAGTTGTCCTTTATCCAGAGATTACATTGTAATTTTTTGGACACAAATATGCTTGCTCCTGTAAGGATCAAGCAACTCCAAACCTTGAGAATTATGGGAATGTATAATGTCGAGTGGTTTGTAGTTTAAAGAAAACCAAAGCTACATTGCTTCTGGAGCACAAATAAAACTGTCTTCTGTGTACAGATATTCTTCTGCGTAGCAAAAAGCATTATTTACCAATCTTCTATCTTATTCACCGAGTGGATAGTTCTTTGAAGTTTTTGTTTTAAAGATGATGTTACAGAATTCATGCTTGCCAGCTAAGCTTTGATTGAAGGTGATCTTATATGAGCATTGCTATGTAGCTAGGAATTAATTTGTATCTTAGTATTGTGACATAGAGTAGGCTTTTTTTCCCTTTGTGTGCTAGCGATAGTAGCCAGGACTGTCACTTGTCTGCTAACCTGAGTTCAGTAACTTGCTCAGCATTGCATAGGTGCTTCATGTGGAAAAAATACCTCAGTTTCATTGGTCTGAGAGCAGTGTTTCTGTAGCTCCTTGCTTGATTGAATTAAACCAACACCTTTTTCAGCCAATAGTGTAAGTATAGGGGCCTAGCAGACAAAAGGCTTTCTTGCTTCTGGAGAACTTTGTCCTAAATAAAGCACAGAATTTGGGAAAATGGGGAAGAAAGCACATAATGAACTTCAATCTTGTGCTCAATATATATGAGTTGAGTGGATAACCTCTATTTCTTCTTTCCTATAATATAGTTTCCCTGCATTCACCCTGCCTGACCTGCTCCTCCCTAACCCCGACAACATCTGAACAAAACCCCAAAAAGCTTAAATATATTTTTCTCTTGGAATATGACATTCTAGAATCAATTAGTGGTGTTAGAGCCTTGGGCTTCTGCCATTTAAACTCAGTGACTTGTAGTGTTGGTGAATGGTCCTCTACTCTCTAGAACAGTACTAGAAGGAGGTGACCCTCTTCTGGTCATTGGATACCATACCTGTGAGCTTAAAGTAGAGGTGCAGGCTCAGACTTGTAAATTCAGCTCATCTGGCAGGAGGTTTGTGATCTCATGATGAACAACTAATGTCTGTCTCCAGCAGTCCTTTTTCCCCCCACCTTTGTTGCTACTACAGCCATCTTGCAATTCGTGTCTTCCATTGAAGCTTCTCTCCCATGTCCTTAGTACATTAGCAAGATCTTCGAGAGCACTTGAGAGAAACAGCATTTGTTCTCCATTTCCGTGGCTCAATGTGAGGAAAATGGGATTTTTTCTTTGGCCTGTCTTATCTGGAAATGTCTGAGCTGTGTCAACACCCGTAGTATTTTTCCCTGGAGCAGGTTCATCAATACAGAAGGAAAAGTAAGTAGATGTCTTTAAAACAGAGAGTGTCTGACAACATTAACTGTAAGTACTTTTAATATTTTGGTGGAGTTGGGATTGGAGAGGGCAAAGCAGAAGGCTATAAGGTGTAATCAGCTTATTTCAGTGAGCAGTTTGGTAACTGCAACTGTTAGTAATCTATGTGTGTGTGTGTGTGTGTTTCTGTAGGTCAGAAGCGAGCACCTAAGCGGGGAGAGCAGCAAAGATTTAATAACAGAGGAGCAGAGGTGAAACAAGACAAAACTGAAGGGAGGCCATCTTTCAGGGAATACCCTTCCCATGAAGCAGAAAAACAAGTAGAATTCACAGTGGAAAGGTATGTATCATGCAGGGAGAAGTAAGGTGCCTCATGGAGAATCTGCACAGGAGTAGCAAGGGGAAGACTTAACCTTCTTAAAACAGATGTAGTAGCCAGATGTGACTTGAAGGCATGGTTGCGTTATTAGTGTGTAGATTTGTTACAAGACAACTTAGTTCATGCCTGTCAGAGCTGTAATTTCAGATTCCTCGCGGATTGATTTGGAGCAGTTTTGTTAAATGTTAGAAATGCAAGGTGAAACTGAAAAGTGTAAAGATCTGAAAACATAACCCCTGGTCTGTAACGTAAATGTTCATTTCTGAGCTTGTGTACCAAGCTTTGTAGAACATGTCGTGCAGGTTCCAAGTTGAATGAATCTTACTGTTCAAACTGAAAACAAACCTTTGTCATACTGTTTACTGCTTGGACAGTGAATATATGTCAATTTTGCTTTCTTTAGAAGTACTAGAAAATTCCACCAAAACCTTTAATGCTTAAGAGAGTGTCTGTTCTTACTCTGCATCACAATAGCTGGTGTTTAACAACTTCCCTGAAATTTTTAGCAGTTGCATATAAATCTGGGTTTAGATGGTGGAGCTATTGCCTGATAAAGTTGCTGAAGATTTGACAGTTTTATAATGTTTTATTTAACTTCTATAACATTTTCAGTGTTAACAATAAACAGCTGAACTTTCTGTTCCTGTTATTTGTAATAATTTCCCCTGAGTTCAGTTTAAGTCCATTTTTAATGACAAAACTAATACAACTTTATTGTGTGCTGTGTAAAGATGCACTGTAAAAAGTGTGCAGTAGCTTTCATATACTGATGTCTCTTACAGCTGCACAAATACAACCGTACAATTACTTTTTTTCCTCCTTGTTAACTGTTCTGTAGGGACAAAAGTCTGACTAGCAATCTTCTTTTTTAGACCAACTGAAAAATTAGACCGTGAAAGACCAATAAGAGGTCGTGGCAGAGGAAGAGGTGGAATGCGAGGTAGAGGAAGAGGTGGTGGAATAAATAGAAGTTTTGATGGCTTTGACCAAAGAGGAAAACGTGAATTTGAAAGACAAAGTGGGAATGATAAAACGTGAGTGTTCAGTGTGCTACTTCTCACTTGGTGTACAAGTAAACAACAGTCAGCACTGCAGTAGTGTCTCTTAAGTATTCTGTTCCCTTCTTCTGTGTACAAGTTGGTTGGCAAAAAGTCAATACTGGTTTTAGTTTGAGGTCCTAATGAAAAAAAAAAAAGCTCTTAAACTCACAGAACCCTATTTCTTTAGAGGAATGAAAGCAGATGACAAAAGGGTGGAGGTGGAACTCGCAACTGGGGAAAAGTTAAAGTTGGTATGAGGTACAACATCTGCTTACGCCCACCATAGGTCATCATTTTCCATGGCCCACCTTAGATTGTCATTTTCTGTTCATCAGTTTCACATCCATTTTGAGCTTTATAAGTCTTACTTTCTATTAATTGTGGTGAATGTAGTTTTACAGTTTTCTGAACTCATCTCCTGCCTGTTGGTGAGATTAAATTGTAGCAAAACAGATGATGTTTCTTCAGTTGAAACTGCCAAAGTCTTTTGACTGGGGCCAAGTTGTCGTTTTACTGAAATAATGACTTTTCTCAATAGTCAAGTAAGTGGGACTCTGATATTTAATGGCATTGCTATACATTGCTGATTGAAAGATTAAACTCTGTTAGTGGGCTTAAAGTCCAGTCTCTTTTTCTCAAGTTTTATCGATAATTTCTAAATTGAAAAGCTGTAATACTGTTCATTGTGGCTCTGAAGGTAATATTTAGCTGAAATGCATTTTAAAGTGCACAGGAGGATCATCAGCAGAATGTGATGTCTTATTAATGGTCAGTTAGATTTTAAAAAACTCCACAAACCTGGGAATTTTCAGTTCAGTTCTATTTCTCCTACTCATTTCTGTTTGGATTTGCAAAAGGCTCACTGGAAATGTCATCTGTTGTCCATTCTTTGCACCTGGGAATATGCTAGTTTTTCCAGTAGCTTTTGCTCTCATATGTGTATATTTATAGAGAGAAAGCTCTTCAATTGAAGGCTAATAAAAGACAAGAGGCAGCACTTTGAACTTACAGCAAACATCTTTGGCCATGTACACATGCATTCAAAAAGTGTTTTAAAAATAAAATTCTATTTTTAGAACTTAGATTGTGGATTCAGACAATCTTTCTAAAAGGTTGAAAAACAGAGGCTTGATGGTTGATAAATTTGGGGCTTGATATTCTATGTTGTTCTGAAAGGTTGTACTAACTTCTATCTCTTCCATAATAATTCATACTAAAGGTAAAAGATTGGTTAGGTATTCTGGCTTTTCAAAACAAAGGTTAACATAGTTCTGAGCTGACAGCACAAAACAAGCTTCTGTAGGCTATTGGCAAAGGTGTGAACCTCATAAAGTACAAGAAATTTAAGATCCTTTATATTTATTCTCTCAAGTTTTTTTTTTTAGTTCAGTAGTATCAGAATTTATGATACAAACATGGGGTATTAATCCTTTTTTGTGATGTGAGTCTGGTAGAAGTGACATTAAATTGGAGTTGTCTAAACAATTCTAAAAGCATGCCTGTGCCTTAATTGTGCTCAGTGATGCACCAAAGCTAAAGGTGTTAGTTTTAAATATGCATGCCTACCAGTGGAATGAAAGTAAGTATACTACTGCTGTCATTTGCCAGGGAACTAATGTCCGTGTTACAGAAAATACAAACTTTGAGTATGAATTTTACCATTTTAATAACTGAAAAGAAACAAAAAGGCAAACCCAAACATCAGTGATATTCTGTAATCAAGTACTGCTGTTGGTATTTATGATTGAATTATTTCGTATTCATGAATGAAAGTACATAGAAGTGGGATTTTCCTAATACTTTTCATTTTGTTAGTTGCTCAACTAGTCACTTGGTAGATCTACTTTCTGCTTATGATCCTAGAGGTTTTCTCCTCTATTTTTTCCTCTCCAAAGGAATTCTGGAAAAAAGTGATGTATTGATTTGCAAGGTGTTTTTTGTTTGTTTGTTTGTTTTTTTCCCAATGTGAGCCATGAAGACTTTGTGGGTTTTTTGTTTACTGTTTTAGTGGGATGGAACAGACTGCTCCTATGGAAGAGACTGCAGAAACAGCTGAGCAGCCAAGGGCACCTGAAGGAGAATCTCCAAACAAGTAAAGTCTGACTAAAATATTTTCTTTCTAAATGCAAAGAGAACAATTACTGTTACTGATATTCTTGTTTTGGGACGCAGCCTTGAAATGTGAACTGTGAAGTTTTGCTAGTGCACATATTTAAAAATAGAAAAGCTTTGTCTATATTTGTGAGTAAGAAAATTCATCCCTAATTCTGACTAAAGCTTGGTTTATACAGCTTCAGATTGCATTTAACTGTCTAGTGATTCCTAAGATTTGGTGATAATTTAAGGAGGAGCTACATATTGTCTGTTACCTTTTTAAGTTGGCTAATTTGTAAAATCTACCCTGCTTTTTGAAGTTCTCTGAGAAGAAGATATTTGAGGTACCTATGCAATTGTACAAACGATTAAAATACACTAAGATAAAATTCTCTAAGTCACTATTCATCAGTCACTAATACCATGCAGTTGTCATTTATTCATGAAGGGCCTCTGTAGAACTTGAAAAACTTGGTGGAAATGGTCTTGCACTAAGCCTTAGAAGTAAGGAAATTGAGAGAGAAACCTGGCCCTCATCTTCTGGCCTTCATTCTGATCAGTGTCCAGTGAGAATTTACTTCACAGTGAATAAAAACTGGCTTAAGAAAAAGCAACTAGACAATCTTGTCAAAGTAAGAGACTTGAAAGAGAAATTAAATAGCATGTGGTGAATATCTCCTAATGAGTGAAAGAGGGTCAGTGCCATATGTCAGCCTTCTTGACTGTTGCTGTGAAGCTCTTTTTAACCTAATGATGCAGATACAGCTATTAGTAGCCTTGGTTCATTACTAAATTATAAAGCTGACTAGACTACAAAACCTGTTTTATCTGTTCAGGTTGTATAACCTTGTAAGAAGTGAATAGGTACAGCTTTGATTCTTTTAATTTTAAACTAGCTTTTAGTATCTAGGTAGAGGTGTGTATACCTGGGGAAATCTGTCTCTGAAATTGAATCGCTATGATTTGATTTCCAGAGAACTTTCTAGACTAATTTAAATCAGATGAGTAGTGTAGATAAACTCCCAAAAATGCACTGTATTAGCTGAAGATGAGAACAGTTACTTAGCTTTTTTCATCAACTACTGGTACCTTTACTTGTTTCAGACTTTTATTTGTTTCTACTCCAATTCAAGCTCTTTGTAGGTATGTCCTGACATCAGTTCCCTGTGGAGCATAAGGCAAGACAAGTATTTGTAGTGGAAAAGGCATCTGACAGAATCTGCCAGTTGCTTTAATTCTTTTCCCTTTCTCGGAGATCACTAGGTGTTCGGTCAGACGATGAGCCTTTCTGGAGATTTTGCTCTTCAAGTTTTTGAAAAAAGCTTTGTGTAGGAAGAGTCCACTGAAATCTGTAAGATTAAAAAACATGCGACGTACAAGTACAAAACTGCACTGTGTATTTTTTCAGTGTGGTGAATACTGTCCTGAAGACTCAAAATCTGTATACAAAATACGAATTACATATATGTCATTGCAATTACCCTTGGGGGTAGTGTCAGCTTGGTTACTCTGCGTTTTAAAGTAGAAGAGGAGACATTGTGTGAGTAGTGCCTAGGTAATTAGGGATCGTTGTATGGCACACACATTAACAAGGTGGAATTATTTTTGTTGTTCTTTTAATATTTAAAAGCAAACCCAGAGGGGTATGATTTTCAGGCTTCAGGATGTATTTTAAGGTCTTGTGTGCTTAGATTGCCCCTGTTCTCTAGAGCTGTTGTCGTCTTCTGGCAGGTACATACACCAGCAAAAAATTCTAGCTAGACTACCTTCTGCTTTCATTACAGCCTCAATATTGAGGCTGTAGGGATGTGTGTTCGCTTAAGCTACTCCTAGGGTTGTTCTCCTTTTGACTCTCAAGTGCAGCTTGGAATCCATTTCACTCTAAGGAATCCATTTCTTTTCTGCTGCTTTATTGTGCTTGTGTGCTTGTATCAAGGAAAAGATGGAAAACTTGTGTTTGTTTCTTCTGTTACTCTCTTTCCTGTTCTAAGTGTTTTCATTTAAAAGAAAAAAAAATAGCAGTATGCCTGGAAATTGGGAATAATCTGTCTGTGTGAAATTACAGTATAGCTTTCTAGTGTGGTACTGGCTAATTTAAATGCAGCTCTTGAAAGACTTTTATGAGCTTGTGTAACTTATGGGGTCTTGCTTTCAGGACTGTCCCTGTTGCTGTTCTTGAGCTTCCATTTGCAAAGTATTGCAGGACAGGGTTTTTTTAAATACTTCTGTAATATAAATCAAGATACTACTTTCTGTATCTTCAAATGTCCTTGAGTATATCAACAATATCTATCAGTTTATAGCATCCCAAACTGCATGCTAATAGTTAGGGATTTTTTCACTAATAACTAAGTATAAAACATACATTAGTGCAGCAGTATAAGCTTTCTTCACAGTGGCTTTCTGTTGAACTTATCTTCACAATCTAACAATGTAACACATTTGTGTTGACTGGTAGTTAAAATTAATAGATTTTTCATTCAGTACAACACATAGTCTAATAAATTCCTATCAAAGGTGTTTGCGGAGTTAGTATTTATTCTGTGGGGTTTTTTCCATTTCTTTACATAGGATTTTCTTCCTTTTTTCATGGAGCTATGTATTCTGGTCATTTAATAGGAAGCTTTCAAAATTTATCTTGAAGTTTGCTGCGCTATTTTCCTTTCCTGTTTGCGTTCTTGTTTGAGTGACATAAAGCTATCCATAGACCAGGCCAGATTCGTGTTACTGATTTCTTGATAAAAGCTGAATAAAAGTTTGCTTTGCGTAGGAGAATAATACAAAACCTGATCTGAAAAAGACCAGCTGTTGCTTTTTTATGGTATGAAAATAATCAGCCAAACAACTTAGCTGCATGCCATTCTTTTCCATCCGCATTCTGCATATTAACATGTTCACCTAGAGCAGTTCCCGCAAGAAAGGTATGCGCAGTAGACAGGATGTAGCTAGAGGTTTATGGTCATCCATTGAAGCAGTAGGAACCATTATTGAAGGCTCCTGTTTAGTATTTTGCTATGTACTTGCCTTGTGAATTCAGCTTGTTCATGTCCAGAGGCTGAGCTTAGGTGTCTGGCAGTATTTCATAAGCATGACTGTTCGTGTGCCAAGGAGCTCATCAACTTGATTAATGAAAAAGCACACCAAGCAGTTACTAAAAATGTGTAAGGTTAGAAGGTGGAAAGTAATGCACAGAGTGCACTTCCATGCAGGCTTGGTGCCCAAAATAACCTGCTACAGTTGAGCCTGTCCAAAATGTGGTATGCAGGTTCTTGTTGCTGTGCATCACTAATGGGACGTGTTTCCCCTTGGGAATCTCAGCATCCTAAAAGAAATTTGTACTGCTGATAACCTAGCAGTTGAAACCATCCTTTGGAATAAAAATCAAACAGTACTTTGCAATTGAAAACCCAAACCTTTGCAGCGTAAATCCACCAGTAGTTCCTTTAGAACAGTCAAGTGGTTGTTTTTTGACAGATGTGTACTTTTCAAAGCAATACCTCTGGTTTTTTGGTTTTTTTTGAGAGGTCAAGTTGTTGTGTAGTGAGATGTCCTCGTGTTGTTTTATGATCACAGAAATTTAGATCTGAAAGGGGTCCTGCTGACCCAAGACATGACCAAGTATTCCTGTGCTACTTCTCATACCTGTCTAGTTGATTTTAATGTTCTCTGCTGATAGAGATTTCAGTGTCTCTTGATGGTCTTTACAGTACTTTGAAAACAGAAACTACTGTGTTTGGGTGAGGTTTTTTCCTCCTGAGTGTCTTGACTTAACATTATAGATATGCAAAATTTTCATTCTTTTGTGGTGTTATGTATATTTCCTCCTCAGCATCTCTTTAAAGGCTTCCCATGTAGATCATGTATTTTAGACCTCATTATCTGTCTTACAATTCTATTCTGGACTTTCTACCTGTTCCTACATAGAAGACACTGCTCGGTTGAGACCTTGTTCCACCCTACCAGCAGTGACCTCTGTTCTGAACAAAGCTGTTGATGTGTCTCCTTATAATAGTACGTCGTTGTAGAAGATAAAAATGCCATTGAAGTTCAGCTTAACTGGGTTACCTGCAATACTCTTGCACAGTTTGGGGGATTGGGGTTCATCCTTCAGAGCTTCTGCCTTGCTAGTGGTTCCATCTGGGATTGGGCAGCTGATACTTCTGCCTGAGGGTACATATTTCTGTTTGTCCCCATGACTTCCTGGATGTAGTTGTTTTTGTTGTTTATTTTCAGATCACTTGGTTGGTGTAGCATCTCATACCACTGGTCAGTTCTTCAATATTCTTGAATGCTTGCACTATTGCCCTTTTCTTTCGCAAGGTTTGTGCCGTATAAAATGCAGTAAATGTATTATGAATTACAGTGTGGATAGCTGCACAGAGCTGGCCTTAAAGCTCTGCTCAAATGCTTGTTTTTCAAGTTGAAAGATGGATAGCTACTTCTCAAGTACTTGTTAAACCAGTTCTGTATCTTTCTATATTTCTTGCCAAAGACTGAAACAGTGTCTCCCTAGTGTGGTGAAAACTTAATGGGAGAGGAGGACAAAAGATTTCCTGAAGGTCAGATATGTAATTTACTGATTCTGTTCTGAGGTAGCGGCTTAGGAAGACATTAAACCAATTTAATAGAAGCCTCTTTTTGTTAGTTTACTTTCTCTTTTTTTTTTTTCTTGCTTTGGGTGCTTGCAACTAATCTTGTTTTTCCATCACCTATCCCCAAAACTGAAGCTTTAGATAATTGATCAAAAATTCTATGGCTTCTTACTCTTGAGGACAACAAGTTGAAATGTTTGGGGTGCAATTGGTTCTTATTGATCTTACAAGTGGAACGGTACCTGTTGGTGTTTTTCCAGAAGTAGCTGCCTCTTTCACCAGTATCCTTTTTATTTAACTCAGTAAGCTGGTTATTTTTTTTCTTAACCGTCCTTCTAATATAGTTTCAGATCTTCTTAATCAGTATGGAACTACAAGCTGCTTACCAGTCTTTTTAACCTTCAACTTCTGGGTAATATAGCTGGAATTTTCAGAATAACAGGTCATGAATGCATGTCAGAGGGTAGACATGTAGTATAGGTCTTGTGTATTTTTTGTTTCTCTGTGGAGTGCATTTGAAACTGTGTTGATCCTAGAACCAAAATTAAGAGGTGTCTTACTGTTCAGTTTGGCTTCTACCTGTCGTATGCTGGGTGCTTCAGGAAAATATTGTATAATTTTTTGACTGGCAAGAAATAGAACACAGTTCTCTGCAAGATCAAATAGAAAGTGGGAGCAGGCCTGTTCCTATATAGGCTAGTTCTAAATGTACAGAACACTCCTAACACATGGGAGTTCTGATGTGTTCTGATGTGGTGCTTGTCAACTTCAAAAGCAAAATGCCCAGTTCACTGTCATTTGACTCTGTCTTTCCATGATAAAATACATTTCCAACTTGCATCTAATCAACAGTATATTTACATTGGAAAAATCATCAGCATTTGGTAGAAGACTTGGAACTGCGATTGAGTGAGGTAAAAGAAATCCATAGTTCTTCTACAGGAAGGGACCTAATGAAATGATTTTCTGGAAAAATCAATGTTAGGGAAATACTTAACCAACTTTGACTGCTATTGCAATGCGTAACAGTTCTGTGGGAGAGAAGGGAGACACGATTTCTTAAGTGTCTGGGATTAATCAGTGCAGGTTTTCCTGTAGTTCATGGTATGTGACTTGTTTCTGCAGCAAACAATTACGGTGATGAAGCAAACTGTGCTCCCTGCATGTGGTGCTGCTCAGTAGGGCATAGCTTTCTGCAACATCATTAAAAGGTCCATCTGCAGTGTAATCTCATAGCTGATGGTCCTGGGCAAGTGAGTCTTGGTCAGCATCAGAAAAGTGTCAGAAGAGTAGTCAAGCAGTGATGAGTGGAGAGGAATCTTTAGTTTTGTCTTTGACAGACATAAAGCTTTAGGCTTCATTCTTTACAGTTCAAAAATAATGCAAAGCAGACTCTGACATACTCCATATGATTCCGCTGAACATATCATCACTATTGCACTTTGTCACAAGTTAAAACTGGACTAGGATTAATCTGGTTTTGCCAGGTGATAAATACTGTCTGCTTGTGTGCTACTGCATCTGACCAAAGAAATCAAAGGAGCATCTTGTGAAATTAACAAAGCAAATGTTAATAATTACCTGGAAGATCCCGTGGTGTGATCATCGTGTCTTTTTGACTGAAAGCTGCACTGAAATGTGAATCCATCTCATACTGTCATCCTGCAGTATGAGTCAGAAAAACCATGCAATTGGGGTGTTTTAAAACTGCTCAATATGCTTTTTTTTCTATGGCTATATTTGCTAGGAGTAGATCCACTGTTAAACAGTAGGGTTGAGAATATGCCAGATCAAAAGACAGTCTGTTTTTGTTTAGGATCTGAAGTGCTTGAACTTACAGTGAGAGTGGATGAATATCAGAACTTACTGCAGGAGGATGGAGACAGCATTTGTTCGTATGACTAATTTCAAACAAACTATAAGTATATTTTCCAACGTATATTAATGTAAAACTCACACATCAAGTTACTGTGGGGAGTAAGTGAAATTTAGGATAGTAGTTTGGTGAGAACATGCAGAATGATTTGTTTAGTATCCTTTAGAGATTAGTATTCTTGTTCATCCTGGCATGTTGCAAGCTAATGGTTTTTACTTTACAACTATAAACCTTTAGAGTTGCTGAAGGAGAGCCAATGGAAGAAGTAGTTCAAGAAATGACGTTAGATGAGTGGAAAAATCTTCAGCAACAGAATCGACCAAAGCCTGAATTCAACATCCGGAAGCCAGAATCCACTGTTCCTTCCAAAGCAGTGGTGATTCACAAGTCAAAATATAGCGATGATGTAAGCATTGCCTCAGGAATTCTGTAAACTCTGCTTTATGCTCAGGGTCAGGAAACTGTCTCTATTCTTTTTCTACTAGTTTTAGTATAATCTGAACAGACTAGAAATCAGTGCCTAAGCTTTGTTACTATAATGACATATGTGTCCCAAACTTGATTTGAACTTACCATCTGTTCATTTTCTTCTCTGAGATCATCACTCCTATTTTGTATGCAAGTACATGAAATATATCAAGTTGTTCTACCTTATGGCTCAATCTTACCGATATAAATCCTTGCTGCTGCCACCTATGTAGATCTATGGTAATGCTGCAGGAGAGAAACTTGGTTTACTAAACACTTCTTATCCTAACTTTCAATCCTGTTTAGCTTACTTGCCAGTATACACTTGCATGTATATATTAATACTGGGTTTTGGCATCTGTTAGTGTGGATGCTAAGTATCCTATTTCTCATCTGTGCTGGATCCCAGCTTTCATTGTGCACTTGGAATATATGGATTTTTTTTTTTCTTGGTTTTAGGGTCTTGCTTCTTAGAATAACTCTGGAGAGCTTGTTCTATAGTGCTTTTCCCCCCTGCCTTTTCCCTAACTTTTATTCCATGATATTACTGGGATTGACATTTCAGGGAGAGTGTCTAGTTTATTGGTACGATTGAGGAGAGAGAGGAGGCTTCTTTTACAGATTCTTGCTTAGATAGATTTCAGATTTTAGGGGTCACAGAAGTATATACATGTGCTCATAGTCTCACATGATGAATTTTGATCCTTAAAGTCTGCGTGCACGTATGAATACACATACTATCCTTTGTCTAGTTATAATATTAACATCAAAACTTGCAGCTTTTTAAGCCTTAATCGCTTTAGGTCATTGAGCGCTTCCAGGGGCAGACTAATACTGAAGTGGCCTGCTTCCTTTTTAGCATGGTGTTTGGTGGTCACAGTTGCCATTAGCCCCTCTTCTTTCTCTGAGGGAGGTGGTGGTAGGATTGGGGAGAATATCTTTCACAAGCTCTGAAGAGAGTATGCAAGTGTGTGAAGAGTGCATGCATGTTCCTGTTCTTCTTGCCCATAAAGTTTCTTCTTGGCTGGCCGTATCAAGGGACCTTGTCAAAACGAAAATAGAATAGGAGGTGCAGGAGTTGTGTAACATGGACAAGTCCCTGTATTAGACATTGAATAAAAGAAGTGATTCATCAGTATGGGATGAGTTTACATGTATGTTACCGTTGCTACAGTGCACATTAAAATTATGATGGGAAATACTCTTACATCCAGTAGCTACTAGGAGTACACAGTTAAAACAACAATAATCTCATAGCTGCAAACAAATAGACTAACAGATCAGTTAATAGCCAAATACTATGGCCTTTTAACCATTACTTGAAGATAATTGTAGGAGTAAGTAGCTTAAGCCTGATTCTCTAGTCCCTTGGAAAACCTTGTAGATAGTATTTCTGAAAAACCTCTTCAGTGTTACGGAGCCAGTATGGAAGATTTTGTTCCATTAGTCTCTGAGCCAACAAAAAACCTGTCTCAGGTGTCTGGGAAGCTACAGTTGCCTCGCCTCTGTTAAAACCCTGTGCAAGTTAAGACCTGTCTCCTATTCTGGATGTCATCTTGATTTATCTGCTTCTTATTCTGTAGTACAAGCGTGTGTGTCTATGCATCAGGGAGGGGAGAAGGTTGTACCTGGAAGCAACAGGCTTTAACCAGATCTACTTTTTAGTTGTACAAAGACGACTTTGAAGATGATTCTCATGTCTTTCGAAGACCAGTGAATGACATAACATCTCAGCTGGATATTAATTTTGGGAGTCTTCCTCGCCCTGGCCGTGGATCAAGAGGAGCACGAGGTGGTCGTGGTCGTGGCAGACGAGTTGAGGAGACAGCACCTCGACCAGAATTAATGGTTTTTATGTTTTTTTTTTTTTTGTTGCTTGCTTGGGAATTTTTTGGTGGTTGGTGTATGTGTGTGTCCTGCCCACTTTTTGTGTAGAATTATTGATTTCTGTAGTGATAGCCTTGTTTCTAATTCCTGCCTTCTAGTATGTTGGCCTGGTTATTTTGAGTTGCTAACCCATATCATGTTACTTAAATTAAATACCGGTTCAGGCTCACAACTCTTAACACATAAATTTCAAAAGATCTGATTACTAGTTGCTGTGATGGTAACTAGAGGAAAGGATGCCATGAAGATTTGTTTCTGCAATGCGTTTTGATATAAATTGGTAAGTAATTAAAATTACTAAAGGATTGTATGCCTTACAAAAAAAATTCAGTATAGTACAGTGATAGCACTTTGATTACTGAGTGAGATCATTAAATCTGAGATCCTACAACAAAATCCTACAGCATCCTACAGAATGATACAAGTATTCAATACAATCCTTAAAATAAAATTCCACTGACCTTTTTCCCTTAATAAAAAAAGGGCATTTGCACACTGAAAAATTATATCTTTATTCTTCATATTATCTGTGAGTCTCAATATACTTCTGTCTAGCGTGAGTAAAATACTTTAAGGTTGGGAACTTACAGAATGATACGGAAGTGATTTGAAGCATTTACTTCATCTGAATGAAAAAGGCTCTTTATAATAACAGCATAGGGTTTAAAACGACAATCAAGTATGTGCAGTGGCCTTAGAATGTAAAAAGATAATAATGCTGCTTCTAAATCCAGACAGTGTTTTGGGTGAGATTGCTTTACTTTTTTTCTTCACCTCAGTGCTGCAGAACTTGTGATCTTCTGGTCCTCCCCAAGCAGTAGCAGATCAGCATTATAAATATGTTCACACTGAGGAAATTATAGTAGTCATAACTTCCAAGATAAATGCTTAGCATTTCTGTGATAGTGATGGATACAGAGCATTTAACTTGAATAGAAGAATGAACCCTTTTCAGGGTAAAATAGATGTATGTAGCTGTCGGATGTTTTCAAAATGCATTCACTTTTATAAAGCTTCCTTTCTTACTTCATAGGTGCAGCTTGTTGCTCCAAATCCTGATGATCCTGAGGATTTTCCAGCTTTGGCTTGAAAAACTGTCATGAATGGTGGTATCTCAAAGTAGCTTTGTAGTTCTGAAGAGACCAGTTTTATGCTGGTATGGATAAAGAAATCCTGTTTCTACTGGAAAAGCTGTTCAGGTGTTTGGTGTAGAATGATCACAGCCCTCTGCTAATGGAGTTGTCTTCCGGAGATACTGGTGGACTGGGATCCTGTCACAGGTTCCAGTGTCTGCCTCTGTTTGTGAAAACTCTGTGAAGGCTTACAGTACTTCACTACAAGGCTTCAAATGAAGTTCAAGAGTACAGTGTTTAAAAATGTGTATGTAGAGATTATATGAGGTTCTCCATGACACCATGGTGAAATGTAAACTGTAGAACATGGTCTGTAATTGTATTTCACTGTACATTTGAAAGCTGCTCTCCCTGTTTCTTTGAGTGAAGCTTGTATTTCACACAGTCATGAGTTGCAGTTCTTCGGAGTTTGGCAAATAAAGGAAAGTGCTTATTGGATTGGGTTTGAGGTATTATTTTCACAAGTCAGAGTAGCAGACTGAAGCTTTTGATATTTGGATGTAGTCGGGAGGGGCAGGACCCAACAAACCTAAACAGCAGCCCTTACTCGCCCAAAAAAGTGAACATCTCTCTAAACAGAAGTTATTTTTAAAATGAAGGCAGCACAGATGCTTTTAATTGATAGCTAACCATAAGTCTTGCTTCAGTAACAAGATGTAATCTGCAACTACTTTGAAGATGTTGAAGGTGAAGTAAGAATTTTGAGCTAAAGACAGAGCTAAAGTGTTAAGGAAGCTTTTAATTTTAGCAGGAACGACTACAAACTAAGATGTTTCATGCCTTACCAAGAAGTGTTTGTGACATTGGGGATGAGGCGGGATATCCTTTCCTTGCAGCTTTAGCATGCTTCCTCACTTGAGCCAGATACCCTAACTTGTTCCCTGTCAAATGGGACACTCGGAGCCATTCTCTGGGATCTGAGAGAAACAAGGAAATGGTGGCAGAAGTGGTGAGGAAAAGAAATGAGAGGACAACCACATGGGACATTTTGGAAATAGCTATCAGCCTCAAGGGAGTCTTCAAATGCCTACTCAACTTGAACTCATTCTTCCAGTTTACTGCGAAAACAGATGAATATAAACTTTTCTTTCTTTTTTCCTGTTCTCTGCTTCTCTTTGTTTTGTATCATTTCTAAGCAGTCTCCTTTGAGAGCAAATAGTGGATGAGACTTGAAGAAAAAAACCTGTTTCACTTGGGAGTAAGCTCTAAGAGTATTCAGAAACCTAAATTAATTCTTACCTGTGTGGTAAGGCTTTACGCAAGTAAGATATGATCATCCTAGAAGGACTACTGACTCTTCTATATGCTTCAAACAGATTGTCTGCAAAGTTAGGCTGCCTGAAGGACTTTTCTTACATTGTTAAATTACTTATAATTTGCTATAATGTGTGATTTCAGATTCCACAAAGAGCTTATGTTAAG